CTGAATACTTTCCGTACCCACTGTATATATATATATATATACACATCCATTCTTCATGTGTATGAGGCCAATATCCATCTTTATTTTCTAAATGAAAAATTAAGGACATAATATAATTCAATACTATGATAAACAAAAAAGATATACTATTTAAATAAATAAATAAAAAAGAGGATCAATAAGCATAGCCTTTTTTTCTGTGTGTGTGTGTGTGGTAAGGTGAGCTGGGGCCCCTGAATGTGTTTTCAATATGATTCCGTTTGCATGCTTTCTGCTACTATAAATAATACTTATTGGGTTTAAGAGGAATTAGTGCAGGTTTTCATCATCAGCAGAGCCACTGATACTGTGAGAGTGCGGACGCTTCCTTACATATCTCTGTGCACACAAGCAATACAACTATATAGACTTACAATTTATTGAAGGATCTTAGATGGTGGCTACTTCTACAATGACAAAGGTGGGAATTCCAACACCCTGCCAAACAGCTCACATCTCTAGATTGAGATATTTGTTTTTCCATGCAGTACTACATATACTGTATGCCTATTACGCAAATTGTACACTAGGTATTATGCAAAGTGTTTGAAATTTAAGTTACTCTTCAGCCCAAACTCAGAATAAGAAATTAAGAAATTATTATTATTTGAAATTATTATTAAATGTGTTATATATATTTAGTATTATTATTATTACATTTAATATTATAAATGTATTATTATTTATGAAATTATTATATTATTATTTGATTCAGCAATGAAGCCTATTTTAGGGCTATATTTTGCATTGTGACATTTTCATGATGGTTAATAAATAAATAATAATAGTTAATAAATGTCTTTCTTTCTTTTTTTCCCAAATGTATAGTATCCATCCTTCTTGTATTTATTGTAATGATAATTTTTTTTCTCAAAATCTTAATGGTCCTAAAATTGGTTTAATTGTCTTTATACCTTATTATTTTCTTCTTTTTGACTTTTGGGATAGACTGTGACCTGATCTTTACAATTTTCATGGGATTTAGTCTGCAAGCAAGAGTTCAAAAAATGAGCTCCAACAGTAACAAAATGTAAACTTTATTGCAGATTGACATCTATTTTTCGGATTAACAGAAGACAGAAAATGTCATACAGTCATGTGATATATGCATATTTCTGATTGGTTTGCGGCACCTGATTCCTAAAAAAAGTTAAAGATTGCTCAGCACGGAACATTTCAGCATATCATTTTCATAGCACAGCATTTTAATAAACAATACAAGCAAAAAAAGGATCTCAAAACACCACTCTGCATAAGATCATCACAATTAGTCTCTCTGTAAATGCTCAAATGAAAAGGGCATCAAGAGATTAAGACATCAACAGTGTGCTAGGGCATAAGACATTTTCTTTCTTTTGGATTTGATATCTTTGACCTGAGAAACCTGCAGATACAGTAAACATTCAAAATCACAGTGAGGATTAAGAGGACATTCCCTGTAGGCCACACGTATCAGGTGATACTGATCAAGTTCTCGTTCTCTCTCTGCGCTGTAGATTCACACAGAGGTGATTGTGATTTAGTGTTTTACCGTGGGGACCAATGCTCAGAGTTTGGACCTTGTCAAGGCACGAGAGATTCAAAAGATGAGTGAAAGTAGCAGCACATATGGCAAGCTGGCTTAACATGTAATCCTTAAAACATACTAGGATCTATTTTAATGCTACTAGTACTTATTCATTAGTTACTAGTAGCTACTAATTCTTATTTGTTAGCTACTAGTACTTATTCACTAGCTGCTAGTACTTATTCATTAGTTACTTGTTCATTTTCATTTGCTGCTAGTACTTATTAATTAGTTACTAGTTCTTATTCATTAGCTACTAGTTCTTATTCATTAGCTACTAGTGCTTATTCCTTAGTTACTTATTCATTTGCTACTAGTACTTACTCGTTAGTTACTAGTACTTATTAATTTGCTACTAGTACTTATTTATTAGCTACTAGTACTTATTCGTTTGCTACTAGTACTTATTCATTTGCTACTAGTACTTATTCATTTGCTACTAGTACTTATTCATTAGTTACTAGTAGCTACTAGCTCTTATTTGTTAGCTACTAGTACTTATTCACTAGCTGCTAGTACTTATTAATTAGTTACTAGTTATTATTCATTAGCTACTAGTGCTTATTCCTTAGTTACTTATTCATTTGCTACTAGTACTTACTCATTAGTTATTAGTACTTATTCATTTGCTACTAGTACTTACTCATTAGTTATTAGTACTTATTCATTTACTACTAGTACTTATTTATTAGCTACTAGTACTTATTTGTTTGCTACTAGTACTTATTCATTTGCTACTAGTACTTATTCACTAGGTACTAGTGCTTATTCATTATCTGCTAGTACTTATCTCACTTACTAGTTCTCACTTACTTTCAAGAGTAACTATTAAGTATTGTTACTAGTAACACATTTAAAATTTTTACATTGACTATAGGAATCTGTCATTAACATATCAACTATTCAGTTCTGACTACTATGTATTCGAATAGTGACCAGTATCATTTTACATTTTACTAGTAATTATTCATTAGACACTAGTACTTAATCAATACTGTTTAATAGATACTTGCAGTTATTCATTAGGTACTAGTACTTATTAGACAATAGTATATTTTGCAGTTGTTACTAGTAACAAATCTTATACTAGTCACAACTGCTTTTTAACTCGTCTTATGTTATGACTAGTCAGAATGGCCACTGTAGAGTTCAATTAAAAATCTTACTAGTAAAATAAAACTCTTCCTACTCTTAAACTTTTAATTGATACTAGAATCTAATGAATATATCTTTTAAAAAGGTACTAGTACCTAAAGAATAAGCACTAGAAGCCAAAAAGTACGTATTAATACATAATGGAATATATACTAGCAGCAAAAAAAAAAGCACTAGTAGCATGAAACTACATACTAGTGTGTTATAGATTAAATGTTAAAACAGCTTGCCATACACAACCTCTATCAAATTATTATAAAATGCATCTGCATTTTGCCCAAACTCATTAAACCACAATTCTACACGACAAATGTTGCCCTCAGGCTGTAAAAAATCTACATCCGATATCCCAAATAATTTGTAATGGCGGAATTCAGCTGTATAACAATTAGCAACTCTATTTCATAAAACCAGGTATTTTAAACAAGAGTACAAAGTATTTCCAAAGTTAAGGCAATGAATGATGAAGTTTAGTTTGAATTGATATAAATACAAAACTCTAATTCTACCTTCAATAATGTCCTATGAATTACTCAAGATCTAGAAATACCATATTGGTTAATCTGGTCAATTGTAAGAAGCTAGACAAATAATTATTAAAATCAGCATAATATCAAAATCTCTCAAAAACCATCATTATGAAATAACAATTTGTCCTTCGTGTTGTGTGTTGCATTTAACTAAGACTGTACAGCTATGAAAGTTTTGTTTGACATTGGCTCATATTCTTCTACTAATGATTCTAATTCTAATACTAATGATCTTCAATATTCTTTTGTAGACAAAAATAATAGTGCTATTCACCCTAAAAGCCCTTGATATCAGTCTTCTCTATCAGTAAGTGCTTCTCTCACAGTTCATGCTGAAAAATATATGTCAAAAACACCATGAGAACTTGAGGTACTGGTAAAACATTACAAAACTACAGTAAAATATTCAGCAAAGTTCAAGTAAAAACCCCGCTGAGATGAGATGAGTGATGTTTAGCGTACTTTCATCTTCATCCATTTAGCGCATTGGTTTTTCCTTGTAGAGTCTTTCTCAATTTAGCATTTTTTTTTTTAAATGTATATTGATTGTTTGGTCTTCGTAAAATTCCATTGATTGTTTTTAAGCAAAGGGTTTGATTTCTAGCTACATGTCATGATAACAATTTAAGAGACTGTAAGAATCTATTAAATGTAAACTGCGTTCTGAAGAAAAAAGTCAAAAAAAATGGTATGAATTAACAAAACAAGTAGCGGAAGAAAAACAAGAGGGATCTAAAGATCACGAGAAAATATAAACCACTTAGATTTTTAAAGTGCAAATTATCTTCTACCTAATCTCAAGATTTCTTGAGACACAGATAATGGTCTTTATGGAAAGTGCAATTTGAGATCAGCACAAAAATCTTCAAAAATAGAAAAAAAGTGGTAAGTAAGCCTCAGGACCTCCATCGAACAAACACCGCCACGTCCCCAAGGCTGACCGGGTAACTTTCCAGAAACGTCCCTCCATCAAACATTTGAGCATTGTTAGTGTCCTGCCACTGAAAGTCACTCTCCGGCAGGTAAATGTCTCTTTGTAAAGCTCCTTTTTCAGTAACCGGCGCAACAAGGACCTACAAAAGCAGAAGACAAAAATTTAAAACTTCAAGTATACAATAACAGAGATCACCTCAAAAGCCTAGTTTCGAATGTGTAGCCTAGCTAGATTGGAAATTGAAAGGCTGTAGGTTCAAACCCACAGGGATGACCTATAAACTATCACTATTGTGCCATTTGATGACCATGACCTTGCCAGATAGCACTTGATCAACATCCTTTGTGGATGGCCATAGTCAGGGTTTGAAAATTAGTGAGGTCTGGGCTGGGGTGGGATTAAGAATTGTGCTATAATAACCCCACATACAACTCATTGTATACACTAAACACTTTAAAAGAGACAGATATGTAGATGTTTGTTAAAGATGTTTTCTCTGTTTTGGAGGAATGAGCATTGTTAAATTATATCATATTGCACCATAACTTTAGGTTAGTGGTATATAATTTTATCAGTTGTTTATTATTCATTCAACAATACATAGGCCTATTACTGTTGTAGTTTTCATTAAGAACCATTGCTATATAGATGATAACTTTGTCTAGTGCTCCTATGAATGTTGTTGGCATGACTGTGAAAATTTAACTACAATACTCAATGAAATAGCATATAGACGTAACCTACTTGTTCTACAGATCTCTGCTGTATGTTGTATGCTACTGTTTTGATAGCGTTGATAACGTTTCTGACAGATATCACGTTTTTTTTTTTTTTTGCGTTTGCGTTTGCCTTACTAAATGTGGTATCCTGTCAGCAATAACATGTCCGTGGGATCTTTTGATTAGTCTCAGTTTAAGCTCTGGCAATCATTGCAGTGTTGCCAGATAATGCGATGAAAAAAAATAAACCGACATGAGTTCAAATCTTATAAAATAAGATAAAGATATCGCTAGCCCTAAATTGCAACTTCCCACTTATTAACCTTCTAAAGTGTCAAATTAAGTAGAAAAGACAAGTCCAAAAACGCTTATAATAACTGGATCTGGCAACACGGCAGAGGCTGCGCCCGCGCCTTCACTCACAACTCTGCCAGTGTCTTGCAGTGATAATTTTCATACCACGGGCGCTAAACATTCTTGTAAACTGTCTAAACTTAATTATACATGCAGACACTCATATGAGGAGCTTTAAACAGCAGATTAGTCAATTAGAGAACAAATTTTATTTTTGAACATTAAAAATTTACCAAGGTCCGGACCTCTGTGACCTCATAGCTGGCTATGGGCATGCCTTGTTGCTCCTGGAAGGCTAGGATTTGAATTTGGGTTTAGTAACTACAAGGTGACACTTACTATTTAAGAAATGTATATGCTGAATCATATTTATATTGTTAGGAAGATACCTGCAAAAATGCGTGATGCAAATTTCGTCACCAGAATAGTATGCATGTACTGTACGCGCACCACTCAATTTTTGTAACTGCGCATACTGTGTACGCACAGGTTGCACATTTGCATTGAATTTATTTTGCACTAATGAGTTGTTCCACAAGGTGGCAGCACTGGCCAGGTCGTTGTTTCACAGTAGAAAACGAAACTAAATAAATGGAACAACAACAACAAAATAACAGAGACTGCAACAACAGCAGACGTCCACATTGACAAGCGCTTGTGTGAGGGGGTTATGAAAGAGCCAATACTTTAGTTTAAAACAGTACAAAGACATTTTTTGGTCATAACTTATGAAAAAAACTTCTGAAGCTTTCTAGAGCGCAAATGTCGACCACCTGCGTTTGTGCACGCTATCATGTGGAGTATACTATGAAAGGCTACATGTCGACTCTATGCATACGCAAGGGTTGCCAGGTCTGTGTAACAAAACCAGCTCAATTGCTACTCAAAATTGCCCAATCACGTTCCAGGGGAAATTGGCTATCAAAAAAAGGAGGGGGGGTCGAAATCACATTCCGGGGGGGAGGGGTGTTTCCTGTGGCAACAGTATAAAAGTAGACCAATTTTGCGGGAAAACCACAGACTTGGCAACACTGGTGTACAAATACGAAGTATACTTTAGGCTTTAGATGATAGATGGTGCTGTGGGGTCATTTTCATTGCGCAATAGCTTTAGCATAAGAAACAAACAGCCCGAGAGGAAGATTTCAAATTATTGACCCACATTGTTATAGCGAATGAATGTTTGTGGGAATTTCCCTCATTATGAGCACAGAGTTTGTGGGAAAGTGTAAAATTATGTGCAATACCGGCACTGAAAGTTTGGCTTTGAAAACCCTTCATTAACTAACATCTCGTCAGAAACTTCATTGTGGAAATCAACACTGAAAACATATAATCTAGTGATTACATGGGCTGGAAGATTTGGACTGTATTGTTCCAAAACTAACAACTTATTCAGAAACATGTCCTATTTGGTAAAATCAGTCACCATGTCTTTGAGCAATGTACTTAAGCTCAGGTTACTCCTAAATGGGCAAATTAGGAAAAAACTGACCTTTCTAGAAGCAGCTTACCTCATTTCCAATGAGAAACTCATCATCAATGGTGAACGTGATCGGGTCGTTTGGACTGAGCCACCACAGCGGCCTGTAGATGGGGTTTCCAGTATCCTGCCATTCCTCTGCGTATTTCAGTATCAAAGGAATGACAAAGTCGTGGTGCTTGGCTATGTAGAATCTGGTGAGGTTTAGGACCTAGAAAAAGGTGAAACTGTCCGTGAACATTTAATAAAACATATGAAAGAGGATGTGAGTTTCTGTTCAACACCGTTCTCGTCTAGTTCTGCTGTGGTTCGTTTTTAACATTCCTTCCGAGGTCATATCCTTTAGTTAACTTCCTAGCCAGCCTCTGGTGACGGAAACAAAGCAAAACCACGTTCATAAAAAATTTATTCTTTAGATAAAAAAAGTTTCATGCGATGAATTTTGAATAACTGCCTGAGTTCGGCCTAATTTTAAATGGAGAAAACAGGCCTGCGGCTTCTATTCCGGTTTTCCTCCTATTTAGACCCAACATTGAGTCTGATGGGTGTTGGGTAATCGCACAAAAGCTTGTACATACACACACACAAACACACACACAGAGACAGAGAGAGAGACACACACACACACACACTGTCCCTCTACTTCCTGCTTAATATAACTACATTTGTCCATTTCTAATAATGAAATACATCGAAAGATCTACTCCTACCAGTGATTAGGAAAAAAACAAAAAAAAAACAATGACCACCCCCTATTCTGGAGTGTAAAGTCAAATCACAAATGAAACCTGTAATTGTCTCTGAAAATGTTCTTTTCCTCTTATCCAGTGATTCATTATCATTGCTGGTGCAGTGGTTCTCATTACTGTTGAGATTGAGAGTCATAAATTTGAAAGAGACGCTAATGCAGATCAGATGGACGCTTACCACATGTGAAATGCAAGAAAAACGGCCACCTGGAGGACCCTCTGTGCCGGTCCTAAACTCAAACCGGGCTCAAACATATCAGTGCTTGAGACTGGATATTCTGGCGTGTATTTAGATAGTATTTTAAGGAGAGCATTTTCATGGTACACCATGGAGTGAATGAGTATTATGTTCCTTATGTTATGTTAGGCATTTAACTGTCAATGGCCAACATATTGCGCCCAGTTTTGCTTCCTGAGAACTCAGTCTTTCTTATTGTATGACCCACTTGGCTACATTGTATCCCTTATTTTCTGGCTACAACGGGAAAGGAACTGAAGTGAAAGCTAAAACCTGGATGGGGCTGAGGACCCGCCCTTGGGGCACTCACCCATTCCTTCTCAAAGACCCATGGAGGTGTCTGGAAGCTGATGACAGGAAGAAAGGCTGCGATTTCCAGCCAGCGAACGAAGAGCTCATCATCGGCAACCAGTTCGGCAGAGAGCGAGCCTCCTGCGATTGAAAGTCCCACAAATGTATTCACATGTCAAGAAATTCCAATTTTTTGAGGACAATCACGATTTTCTGGCATTGTGATATTTTCATTAGAATTTGGAGGGAAAATGTGCTTAATCCTATAAAGCCTAATGCAACATATTTGATACATTTCTAAAGGCTCTAAATTATCAATGTGATCAAAAATTGCTGAAAAACCTGTTGCACACAATCTACTACATGCCTTCTGTTGTCTGATTGATAGTTTATACTTTTTTTATTAAGTAAAAGGCCTTTCAGTGTAATTGTACTGTACATCCCTCTTCAGTTCATTGTATGTGGTAATCAGTATTCACTGATTTGTATGAAGTAAATGTAAGAACATATTAGTACACATAATATAACACATAATATATATACAGTATATACTGTGTATATATATATATATATATATATATTATATCACACATAAACTATAATAATATGCATATAATATATATAAGAATATATTATCATAGTTTTAGTAATATTTCAAGATGAACACTTACTGGAGTGAAGCAACTTATGTTTTTTACATTTTATGCAAGTAGTCTGTTATACTGTTATAAAGATCTCGTTGATTTATATTACAAGCTGTCAGAATTTCATCTTATGTTTTGGCCATATTAATATCAGCATCTGCACCAAATTGCATATTTTTGCTCAGTTTGGGCCTCTGAATAAAACTGATGTGATAAATATGAGCTACATATTCTCTATCATACTAAATCAGCCATAAAAGCCTAATTTATCAAATACGATAAACATATGCAAACTTTTTATTAGATTTAAGGTTCAATAAACCATTCAGTTTAAAAAAAAAAAAATCTGAAAAAAAACGACAACAACAACAACTTTAATCCATTTTTAAAATCTAAATCAATACATTTAATTCCTATAAAATATTTAATGTAAAATATAATGTATTATTACAGTAATTTGAGAATATGTGAGAAAATTTTGCTTTTCCTGTTAAAATAACAATGCAAAAAAAAAATTCTTAAAATTTCTTAAAAATCACAATTTTTTTTTTATGCAAAATGTAATTATTTTCCCCTTTTTGATTAATTGGTCAAATATGACCTGGGAATATTCTGGAGATATTTTATGAGATTTATTCATATCATACTGTGTATTGTACAACTGTGTGCCAGTGGTCTTCTGTGTTTGTAAAGGATTAAAGAAGACGATTGAATACATTTTATTGTCTTTATCTATGCTATGCATTTTTACAAAAAGTGCATGTGTATTTATGTATGTGTGGGCAGGTATTACCTACTGCATCAGGAATGAAGAAACTATATCCCAGAAGACTGTAATGCAGCAGGGATGGAATGATTCCTTTGAGCCCAGAGTAACTCCAGTCTGACTGCAGTGCACTCATACGGATGAAGAGCGCTTTGTGGCTGGACCTGTGCGAACAAAATTCAAAAGTTCTAAAGTTCAAAAACAATTTGAATCACCTTCAACACAATTCCAATTTGTTTTCAAAATCCAATTTTTTTTTTTTCTTACGGGAAAATTTTACGAATGACTGTCTACTTGACATTTTTGATCCAACAATGCAAATGCAAACAGAACATATGTGAAGAGACTTTCTTTTACAACAACAACAACGAGTAGCTATCATTGTGGAAAGAGAAGATGGAAAACTGGAAATTGTGCCTCTAGTTACACATGGTATATCCACAGTGCTGATAACATGATACCTCATTCATAAAATCTTCCGAAAAACCATTTTAACTCTTTCCACACCAGCATTTTTTAAAACAACCGCCAACATTTTTGATCATTCAAAAAAACTAAAAAACCTTTGATTCTAGCTTCATGCATTCTATTTTATCAACACTTAAATTTGAGCAAGTTTCATGACAAAAAGCAACATTTTGAAAAAAAAAAAAAAAGCTGTGAAAATCGTAACGTTAGGCAGTTTTGATTTATATGCTGTTTAATGTTTGATGATATTTTACATTATGCGTTATTTTACATATGCTTCTGCTAACATACGCGATCACTTGTTTCTGCTTCTTCACCATGTTTTGATCTAGAAATGTAATACTCTTCCATAAGATGTTTAATAGCACCTCCTACCATATAACAGTGAAAACACGGAAAGCTGGAAAATTCCGTCAATGGCGGAGAAAGAGTTAAACGGATTTTAAATCTCCCGTATGCATGCGGTTTGGATCAGACTTGTAAAAAATCCGATTTGGTGTATTTTTTGGGAGGTTCAGATGACTACATCTAAACAGATTTGAGTTTGACACGCCAAGAATGGATTTGGGATTTTGGTTCCCTGTATAGTAAAGTCTGTCAATTGTTCCCAAAATGGTAGTTAGTGGTCGTGATTTTGCCAAATGGGACAAATTCTTGGATTGACATCTTCGGTTGATCCAAATCCCAATTCTCAACCTAAAATCTGCTATTAGGACCAACAAGGATGTTTGACACGCCAAGAATGGATTTGGGATTTTGGTTCCCTGTATGAACAAAGTCTGTCAATTGTTCCCAAAATGGTAGTTAGTGGTCGTGATTTTGCCAAATGGGACAAATTCTTGGATTGACATCTTCGGTTGATCCAAATCCCAATTCTCAACCTAAAATCTGCTATTAGGACCAACAAGGATGGTTATCCATGTGCTACTTGACAAAATCACCGTAAATTATTGGAATTGTTTACCAATTTAAACCAAATACCTTGTTCCTGAGGTCACAATGGCATTGTCCCCTATCCTCTCTGCCAGGTCAGCCAAGAGTCTGATGTATTCATCCCCAACCCACGCCAGAGGGAGGCGCAGGGCTTGTTCCTCGAAAGGTTTTCCCTCACCGCCTTCCAGGATGACATACTCCATGCCCAAATGACTATGCAAGCTGTCCACTTTGTCCAGAAACCAATTTGTGGCTTCTGGGTTGGAGATGTTGAGCTTCACACTGTACTTTCCTTTCCACTGAGTCAACAGAGGCACCTTATGAAAGAGAAATAATGTAAAAATAAAAAAGTTAATAATAATGCACAGGTAAGAATATGGGTCATGAACAAATAAGAGCATACATGAAAAAGAAAAGGAAAAATCTTTTAAAGATCTAGTTCAAAATGTGAAAATTCTTTAAAAAGATCATGTTGGTTTCATATGGTTTTGAAGAAACTTTTATACAATTTCTAAAGTAAAGTGTAGATAAATGTCATGTACTGTAACTATCAAGTAAAAACAGTACTTTCCTTACACCTTCAATACATATGAGTGTACGCATATTAATTATTTTCATATTTTCACTTATATTTTTTAAGGTAATAAAGATTTTTGTGACAGATACCATGAATTTAAATCATAAAAATCTGTTGAACAACATGACATGTAACCTGATAAAATTGTTTAATAATATTGAAAAAAAAATGTATAATAATTTCTTCCACAAATTTCATTCTTTTAATGAGTATTTTTTTCTTTATTATGATATCAGAACAGTTGCACCACTCTGACATTTTTACTTTATGCCCCAAAAGATATCAACGATTTTTAATTTTAAATCCAAAATGTAGAACATATTCATAAGAGACTTCAAGTTATTGTGTGTCTGAATTGCTTTTTTAAATGTATATTTGAATAAATTAATAGATCCAGACAAAAAAAAAAAAAGAGCATAGAGTGAAAAATTGAAGGGGGTCTGAACATATATATATATATATATATATATATATATATATATATACACATAATAGTACATCTATGATGCTAAAATAATCCGGGTGATTGACCCATATACCTCAATGCATAAAAGACCAGACGGATGCACAGATAAGCAAGCAGTCAGTCTTACCGGTTGGCCCTGTGCTCCTGAGGGCAGACTCAGCCAGTAGTCTTCAATGCCTTCTTGAATGGAGGTCTGGAACTGCTGCGAGTCCACGCTCAGGTACGGTGACAGGGTGATGGAAATGTTTAGAAGCTTCACAAAAGGGAGGTCCCTCGTCTTTCTCTTAGACGTCCTTTTCTTGCTATTGAGGTAGCTGTGGTCCTAGAAAGGCAAAAAATAATTATCAAAGATGACAGACAGGCTGATGGCACCTGTTTAAAAAAAAGTCATAAATTATGGTGCAGAAATGATATATTTAACCTTGCAAATCAAGCGTGTTACAGTGTTGAAAAAATATTTCTGACCTACACAGGAAAAGAAAAACTTAAAGTGAAATTTAAATAGATTGATGCTGTAAAATTCAGCAATCTTTCTAAATTAACCACACAGTGGGTTTAGAAAAGAATCACCCCCCTTTAAAATAATCACATTTTGTTGCTTTGCAGCCTGAAATAAAGACGGACACAGTTTTTTGTTTTATTCAGTGCAACTTATAACATCCAAGTTAAAGATATAACACCAACATGTCATAAAAAAAATATATATATAATAATAATAAATAAATAAAAATAAAGGGGCTGATCCTTTTTCCAACTCAGTGATTCTGATTATTTATGTTTTTCTGACATGGTGTTATATCTTTCACTTGGATGTTATAATTTTTCCAAAAAAGCGACTAGCGACAAATCTAGCGACTTCTTGGACAAACCTTAGCGAGTCTCTGTGATCACTGGTACTGACGCAAAATCACTCTATAATGTAGCGATCTAGTATCTAAGCTATTTTATTAATGAAAATCACGGGCAAGCATTGACAACAAGTTTGTGTGTATGTGCAGCACAATCAGCGATCTCTCTCTCTCTGTGTGTGTGTGTGTGTGTGTGTGTGTGTGTTTGCGAGTGATGCGTGTTGGTTAGTGTGCATCTGAAATAAAGACGGACACAGTTTTTTGTTTTATTCAGTGCAACTTATAACATCCAAGTTAAAGATATAACACCAACATGTCATAAAAAAAATATATATATAATAATAATAAATAAATAAAAATAAAGGGGCTGATCCTTTTTCCAACTCAGTGATTCTGATTATTTATGTTTTTCTGACATGGTGTTATATCTTTCACTTGGATGTTATAAGTTGCACTGAGTAAATACAGATGGATAAAACAAAAACTGTGTCCGTCTTCATTTCAGCCTGCAAATCAACAAAATGTGATTATTTTAAAGGGAGGTGATTCTGTTCTTTACCCACTGTATATAAACAGGTTTTTATTAGATCTGTGGTCCTTAAAAATGAGACAAAATGGTATAACAAAAGTGTTTATTATCATTTAAGAGGTCTTAAGAAAGAGGAAAAACAGGCTAATATGATATTAAACCTCAAAAGGCTCTGATCTGATTAAATAAATGTGAGCACTATGCATTTCAAAGTCATTCTCAATCAATGAATATAACGCATGTATGCCAAGTAATTGCTTATGATCTACTGTTGATGAATTACATTGTTTACTTAATTGTGTTTAGATTGTAATATGTTGTAGATGATTGTAAGGGTGCATATTTTATCTCCCTCACTTTCTCTAAAGCAGGGCTGTCCAAACTCGGTCCTGGAGGGCCGGTGTCCTGCAGAGTTTAGCTCCAACTTGCCTCAACACACCTGACTGGAAGTTTCTATGCCTAGTAAACGCTTGATTAGCTGGTTCAGGTGTGTTTAATTAGGGTTGGAGCTAAACTCTGCAGGACACCGGCCCTCCAGGACCGCGTTTGGACAGCCCTGCTCTAAAGCATAGAGATTTCAAAATAAGAGTCCCATTGTATTTTGAGAGGTTTATATTTCAAGTTCCACATTACGCATACAATCTTTCTTTATAATTGGTAATATAACTTTATAACTGGCAATAATTCAAAGTAAACTTTCTCTGGTTTCTCTCAGGCTGGTCCTGTCACAGGAAGGAAAGACAAAAACATTATTTAAAGGAACAGTTCACCCAAAAATGATTTATTTTTTATTTTTAAATAGATGAGTCAGAACAGATTTGGAAAAATGTAGCATCACTTGCTCACCAACTTCAAAGGGTGTCGTCACAATGAAATACAATAAATGCAATATTAAGGCGTTTAAACTTTAAACCATCACTTTTGGCCAAAATCCAAAAGTCCATAATGGATAATAACCCTTCCTCCAGTGAAAATGTCCATCTCCTGTTGTCCTCTCACATCAAAATCCACCTACATATTTGTTCAGAGCTGTTTTGGACTGTTTTCGCTTGTAAACGGTGCTTGATCTGTGCAGATTTCTCTCCTAATTCAGACGAGACGACTTTTTTCACTGGTATTATGGATAAAGGACTCATATTTTAGCTGGAAGCAATGGTTTAAAGTTTAAAACTTTTGTTGTTTCTCACAAACAACAGCTTTTCACTTTACACAACATTAACTGATGGTCTGGAGTGGTGTGGATTACTTGTGGATTATTGTGATGTTTTTATCAGCTGTTTGGACTCTCATTCTGACGGCACCCATTCAGTGCAGAGCATCCACTGGTGAACAAGTGATGTAATGCTACATTTCTCCAAATATGATGAAGAAACAAACTCATCAGGATATCCCGAGGGTGAGTACATTTTCAGCAATTGTAATTTTTTGGGTGAACTACTCCTTTAACACACTCAGTATATAATGTCTCACCGTTTTAACACACACAGTTTGTAGTCTGCTTTTGTAGGCAGTCAGGTATTACAGATGATGACAGCAGACAGCATTAATGTCTCAGAATTCTTATTTTGTTGATTATTTTAACAGTGTGGAAAATATTATTGTTTTACCATCACTGAAAATAATACTTCAGCCCCTATTGATGTTTTTACCATGACAGTCCCTAACAGGTGCCACGATGTCTGAGAAAATATAGCAATAATGTAATTTATATTAATCATATTGTACAGGCATGCTGAATGCTGTGCTTATGAGGAATCTTAGCAATAAATAGCGAATACTGGCAAGTGTGTATATAACCAAAATCATTCCAAGTCAAGCTGTTGGTTCTGCTTATGACTGTGTTATTTCAAGCTAAAATGGAAACTAGCAAAGAAAAAAAGAAAAACTGTCACACAAGGGAAGGCTTTCCACTGCAATTTAGTGGTAAGACTTTTATTCAGGTTGGGATATGGGAAAGTGTGGTCTGTGTATCAGATAGCACATAGGCTTAACGGTGGGTGATCTGAAATTTTTGTTATAAAGTCCCCATTTTTGTTATATTAGGTAATAATCAAACATTTTAATTTACAGAGAAATTGAGCTTATAGCCTATTTTTCAATACATATAGCTATTGCAATATAGCAAAATGGAAGTGTAATGGAAGGGAAAAATATATTTGAGAAAATGTTGTATGGAAAAAGGTATAAATATGAAAAAAAAATCACATGAGTAAAATCTCATAAGTCATGAGTTATTTAAATAGGAGGGCTGTACTCGGCATTACATTGATGTTAATGTTCTGATAAGCCTTTTAAGTATTTTAGGCATAGAGAACATTCTTTTCTTGGCAGAAAGTTCGTTTTTTTTCTCTCTTTCACCTGCCTCTGATCTTTCTAGAGGAATTCAACTGTGAAACGAACCGCTCAGTGTTATTTATACTGTTCTGAGATCAATCAAGCATGCATGCCTAAGAACAATGTCGTGACTAGTCAAAAAATGTAAACAAGCATGTGTGTCATTAATCAATGAATTAAACTAAGCTATAAATCAAGACGGTCTAAAATGGGAAATTCTTAGCTATGCACAGATGATATTTATCTGGGCGATGTAGATGTCTTATGTTATGTCCAAAAAAACTATATGAAGGGCAATTTTTTTAAATAAATGTTTTTTATTCATTATTTAAATTTAATTTTTTATTTAATTATTTTTATTACTCCAAAAAAAAAAAAACATTTATGAATGAATAATTTATTTTATGGGCAGCCTAGAATATCATGCACTTTCACAACAAAATAAACTTTTCTTTCTTTATTGAATAATAATAATAATAATACAAACCTCTTTGTTCTCTTTCTCTGTATCATTGTTTCTACACTGGTGATTTTTTCAATTTTTTATTGAATGATTGATTTTTTATTTATGCCAAACAAGGCCATAATCATATTCAGAACATTAGGGGGACTATTGTTTTGAGGAAAATATTAAGACCAGACCACTATGGTAATGGTAAAGGAACTAAATAAATAATACGATTTTTTGTAAAGTAATCAATCTGAACTGCAAATAATATTTTTATTTTAAA